GGAGTGACGGGATGGGGTTTGAGTGACAGTAGCGGGGGGGAGTGACATTAGGGAGTGGGAGTGACAGTAGGGGGTAGCAGTGACAGTAGGGGGTAGGAGGGACAGTAGGGGGTGGGAGTGAAGGGAGGGGTTGGGAGTAACAGTAGGGGTGGGAGTGACAGTAGCGGGTAGGAGTGACAGTAGCGGGTAGGAGTGACAGTAGCGGGTAGGAGTGACAGTAGCGGGTAGGAGTGACAGTAGCGGGTAGGAGTGACAGTAGCGGGTAGGAGTGACAGTAGCGGGTAGGAGTGACAGGAGGGGGTTTGAATAAATGTTGGAATGATTTATTCTGTAATTTTAGTTTTCAGTGACAGTAGGGGTTGGAAGTGACAGTAGCGGGGGGGAGTGACAGTAGGGGGGGGGAGTGACGGGATGGGGTTTGAGTGACAGTAGCGGGTGGGAGTGACATTAGGGAGTGGGAGTGACAGTAGGGGGTAGCAGTGACAGTAGGGGGTAGGAGTGACAGTAGGAGGTGGGAGTGAAGGGAGGGGTTGGGAGTAACAGTAGGGGTGGGAGTGACAGTAGCGGGTAGGAGTGACAGTAGGGGGTGGGAGTGACAGTAGGGGGTAGCAGTGACAGTAGGGGGTGGGAGTGACAGTAGGGGGTGGGAGTGACGGGATGGGGTTTGAGTGACAGTAGCGGGGGGGAGTGACATTAGGGAGTGGGAGTGACAGTAGGGGGTAGCAGTGACAGTAGGGGGTAGGAGGGACAGTAGGGGGTGGGAGTGAAGGGAGGGGTTGGGAGTAACAGTAGGGGTGGGGGTGACAGTAGCGGGTAGGAGTGACAGTAGGGGTTGGAAGGGACAGTAGCGGGTGGGAGTTACAGTAGGGGGTAGGAGTGACAGTAGGGGTTGGGAGTGATGGGAGGGGGTTGGAGTGACGGGAGAGGGTGGGAGTGACAGTAGGGGGTGGGAGTGACAGTAGGGGTTGGTAGTGACAGTAGGGGTTGGGAGTGACAGTAGCGGGTGGGAGTGACAGTAGGGGGT